CCTCCCAACACGATCAACCTCCCTCCTTTCTCATACCTATTTTACCCTTGCTTTATAGATTGGGTATCTGATCTCCATCTCCAGGGTACACTCTCAGACTTTACTCCTGAGGCGATCTACTCGTTCTCTGACATTTTCTTTGCCCTATTATAAGCCATACTTCTTGTGCCTTCACTCCTTCCCTTCGTATGGGTGATTATTGTCCTCATTCCCCTTGTTTTAAGCAAAGGCCTATGGACAACTTCTCCACCCAAATGGAGCTGGATCAACCACACAGTGCTCTGCCTCGGGTATCTCGCTCTCTGCAGCCTATTTTTTGTACTTTCCTTATTCTTATAACTGGATCTTTATTACTCTCCCAGTCAGCTATCTCCATCATATCTCTGGAGATTCAAGATCCAGGAAACCTATAAACCAGGCTCAGCCAACATCACACATCACGTGGGCTCTGGAGACTGCCACCCCTATGGGGTGTAGTTGGGCTCTCACCATCCTGTTTACACCTAAGTCCACTGTACCACATCCTGTGGGGATAGACATCAACTTCCCTTATATCTGCTTCTTCTTTGATCAAACCCAGCCATACTGTAAAAAGGGTGGTAAATGGTCAGAAAAATAGGGGGGCTGCCCATATCAGAACTGCAAAAAACATTGGATCTCAGAACAGTGTCCAACAGGTAGTATGGTAGGTGCCCACCACAACTCAGGTTTCTTCCTCTATATGCCCGATCCCTGGCACCAGCGTTGGCAGGACGGGGTCAAACGTTCCATGTACTACTCAGGTGCTAGTTCACAACACTCAGGAACCCTCTTTATATCTAGGGAATGGGTTATGGCCCCCCAATCACAGATAGAACTCTCCTCAAACATCTTAAAAGCTGAGCAGACATTCCAGGACCAACGCCCCAAAGGTCCTACAAACACAACCTTATCATCCTGGATCCAAATTTTAGAAACCTCTATACAGTTTCTTAACTCCACCAGTTCCATAAACACTACCTACTGGTTCTTGTGTGCCTCTCTCCAGTGCCTTCTGCTGGCAGCAGTACCCATCAACCTCTCTATCCCTGCCCCCACCTCTATGTCCCAAAGCTCTAAGTGCTGCCCCCCCCCCTTTGACTTCTATATCTCTGTGGGAACCTGACCCAGACCAATACTCACTTCCCTCCTACACCTGCTATTACACCTCTGTCCACTCCTCTTCCTGAGCTAGTTTCCTCAAATTCTGTCTCTCTAATGTCTCTACAACTACTCAAACCTTCCCACCCTCTGGACTATACCTCTGGTGCAACGGCTCCTTACACACCTGTATAAATGCCTCTACTCCAGGCCCCTGGGAGTAGCTGCCACTGGGTTTACAGGTGGAGCCCTGGGTCATAGTGTCATCTCTGCAAAAGACTTTGAGGGGTGCCTTCAGGTCACTCCTGAATCAACCTCAGTTTCTCTAGCCTCCCTTCAGCGACAACTCACTTCATTTGCTCAGGTTGCCTGACAAAACCACAGGGCCCTACATCTTTTAACCACTGAAAAAGGAGGCACTTGCCTTTTCCTCCCAGGAAGAATGTTGTTACTATATTTATGAGTTAGGCCTAGTGGAACAGAATATTAATACCCTGTCTTGCTTAAGTGAAGAAATCCAACATCAGAGGACTAAAAACTCCCCTGCCCTAGACTGGATTCAATCTCCTCTGCTCTCTTAGCGCTTGCCTTTCCTAGTGCCCCTTATTGTTGTCTTTATCCTCCTGAGCTTTCTTCCCTGCATTATAAAAACTTTACAAAATTTTTTATTAGATCGCCAATCTACAGCCACCAACCAAAGATTCAATCAACTCCTCCTCCAAGGATATCAACCACACTAGGGCCACCAAGGGGACCCCCAAGCTAACACCTACGAAGACACCAAACCCTAAGGACCCCACCTGAGAACATGCACCGCCCCCTGCCAACCAGAAGTAGCCAGAAGATCAAACTGTGCCCCAATACCCTACCTTTTTTTCCTCTTCCTCTCTTTAAGAAACAAAAAATGGGGGAATGATAAGAACTGCCCCTTCTACAGCCTAAGCCGTGGCTGGTTTCACCCATTGCAGTACAAAACCCGCTGTTCCTTATCTCCCACCACCTTCCTTTGTCCACCTCTAGACCTTGCTTCCACAGCTGGTCTCATCCCTTACAGAACAAGGCCCCACTGTCCCTTATCTCCTGCCACCTTTCTTTGTTGGTCCCGAGCCCTTGCTTTCTCCCAAATGCTACCTAAGGCCATACCTGCCGAGAGAAGCTGCTGTGCCATTTTCTCTTGGCCAGCCAGCATGCTTATTAAGCTTTTGGCCATGAGATACCTCTTGTGAGCCTCCTTTGTGTGCCAGGTACAGTGTTTTCCTAACAAACACTACTAAGAAGACAACAGAAACAATGGGCCTAATCCCTGCCTCCCAGGGAACTGACTAGCTAAGGAGATGCAAGGCACATGACTCACAAAATGAATCCTAAATTGTATCCTACACACTACAACCATGGGGACTGTGAACTATAGGTTGGATGAGGCTCCTCAGGAAGGCATCAGAACTGCAAGTCTTCAAGTAATAAATTCATGACAACAGTAGCAGGCACAGACTGGCAGTGAGAAGGGGCAGCACATTCTAGATGTGGCACATCAGGAGGAACACCAGGGGGCAGCAGAGAGAAAGCAGGGCCTCCAAAACTATAAGGAAGGGAGAGGACTGGTGCTGGAAAACTGAGATGAGAATGGGTAGCCTTGCTAAGGAGATCACTAGCCTTTAACAAGCCCAAGAAGTCATTGACAAAGTACATCTGCTTTCAGTCTCCCTGCAATGTATCCAATGCTTAGAAACAATGTATCAAATGCCAAGCACAGCACCCCATCCCTTCCTGTTTTCCCTGAAGTGCAAGGAATCAACAAACCTGAATATGTTACCTCAGTGGTAACTTTCCCATAATGGAATCTACTTACTGCCAGGGCAAACTCTTCACCTCTGATAGCAGTGTAGGGGAGATTCAAGAAAAGGAAACATGGCTGGAAGGCTTGTACCTGTAAAGAACACAATAAGCACATGTTCTTATTCAAGTACAAATGCTTCATATTATATAAAATTTAAATCAGTCCTCATGAAGCCTGTGAAGTTTGTAATTCCACCTACATATGTCCACTTCCCCATCCACAGAAAGCAAACGAACAACCTAACCCCAAATGAAAACCTGTACATGGATTTGCTATTTGACATACTAACCAACACAGTGCTTCAATACCTACCAGGAACCAGGTTCTTCGCAAATGTTCCCATTTAGGCATTGCACCTCGTTAAGAGTGTTACGCTATTTTATAGAAAAGAAAACTGAAGTTCAAGGAACTCTGTATCAGTACAAGCTCATATTACCTTCCAATAAGGGAGCCAGAACTGGATCCCAACCTGTCTGACACAAAGCAAGTTGCTCCTCTGTTGCACTGTATTGACCCCATAATCTGCTTTGACAATCCCTGCCCAATCAGTTAGTTTCATTTTGCACTTGTGTGGGAGATCTCAATGTGGCCGGCCCAGGGATGTTCTGCTCACTCCCTTCTACATGTCCACACATACATGTGCCTAGGGCAAAGGGGTCACTGGTGGCAGTAATGCCTTCTGCAGGTTTATGTGAGCAGTTCCAGATAACACATGGTACATTGTCACAATGACTGCAGGTTGCTATTGACACTTAGTGGGTGAAGATCTGCTATACTCGGGATTGTCCCAAACAGTGAAGAATAGTCTCAAATTCCTCATCATTCTTGAAAGTTTCTTTAGATTCATGTAAAGTACCTGTTTAAACTGTCCTGAGACTTCAGCTGGAGCCACTCCACCAGCCCTATTTTGGGGAAGGGTATTTCGAGATAGGGCCTGGTGAACTATTCGCCAGGGCTGGCTTTGAAACACAATCTTCCTGATCTCTATTTCTTGAGTGCCTAGGATTACAGGCATGAGCCACCGGAGCCCAGAAATTTCAACTTATTTATAAAACCAAAGCACTTTTCAGCACATGTTTAATTTCTCAGAAACACAACTCTTTTGTGAATCAAGAAAAGATTGCACTTTGTTATGTTTGCAACTTCACTGAACGTTGTCCACCAGTGCAGAAATACACATCCCTGCTGGTAGCATCACCCAAGGTGTCTGAGATACTGAAATAATGCATCTATACCAAACCACACTTATAGCTATTATACAGAGGATGAGTCTATGCATGGCATAAACATTTCAATACACCACACCTAGAGCAACAATCTTTGACCACTTCCATTTAAAACACAGATCCTAAAACTGTATATTTGTTCCTTTTTATTTCACGTAGTGTTTTACTTATAGCATCATATTAATTTTTGGAAACTATGTTATGCTTTCTATAAACTTCATTCTTGGATGGCAAAGATGCAACACAAAATATCTCTTTTAAGTAAGGGGCTTGACATGTAACACAAGTGAGAGATATTGGTCTAAAGCCATTCATGGTGATTTATTCCACTTAGTAGCTGGAAAACTAAGGCCAGGCATGTTACTCAAGTGGTAGAGTGCCTGCCTAGTCAGCACAAAGCCCCAAGTTTAAACCCAAGTACCATCAAAGAATAAAAAATCGGGCAATAACATGTGGTGCCATTTGATCAATGACATAGGAAGCAACGTCTGCTAGAGGGACATCTTAAGAAGTTCCACTTGTCCTTGAATGACAATGGGGACACTTTCTCCCTCTTCAAGCCATTTGGTCTTACATCAGGTCAATGATAAACTTTTCTACTCAAATATATTTATGGTCATACCACATTTACCAATTTAATATGTTTGAATTCTAAAACTTAAAGCAGAACAAAAGTAAGACCAACGAATCTCTAAGGTATGACAAGCACCAGAAGCAATCAGGTTTGTAAAACTCAATTGAGTACCTGAAACGTTCTAAGCTTAGTGACACTCTAACATCAGTGGGAAAACTTCAACATGCTACGTACCTCCACTGGAGCAGTTGCTAGTCTAAGACCTAAGTCTTCAGAGATCACAAAAGCAGTAGCCTCCCGGGGACTGACAGAATTAGGTAGAGCAACTTCAAATTCTTGGTAAATCTTGGATCTGAAGTCAAGATAACATAAAAGCATAAAACCAATTGTCACACATTTCAAAATAAGCCAACAAACCCTAAAATAGTTTTTGGATGAATTTTAATTCTCTATGTCATTTATACATATAATTTCATAATCACTACACATAAAAAAAGTAGATGAAAAATTCTCAAGGAATAGTTCATAAGGTCAGAATACTGGGTACTGACCCTTATTCCAGGAAAATTTTTCTATGATGGTTATACCTTCAGAATGACCACTATATCATCATGGCTGTTGGGTAGAGAATAAATAGGTATTTTCAAACTTCACTCGAGTTTTGTTCTCTCAATTTGCAAAAAAACAAGTGTTCTGTCTGTAGTCCAATCACTGCTGGGATATTTTTGAAATTTGACTCGTCTCATTTCATCTATTGCTAAATGGCTAACGATAAAATTCCGTATAGTTTTCACCAATTATCTGCTCCATTCTCAGGTGGCACAGAGTTTATAAACTCAACTGAATTCTTTTCAGTACTAATGACCATCTCCCTGTGGTCATGGGAATGTTCTGAGGAGTGGGGCTCACTTAGCAGCACTGCCACATATCCAGGAGATGATGGGGACTGTTTCCACTACATGTCAACAAACGTAGTCCAACTATTTTGCCGCCCATGAAAGCCATGAGCCCTCAAGGAAGTTAAAATCACCCTTCCCTTAAAAAGGCCTACTTTTTTTTTTTCATTTTTCTTTTATTATTCATATGTGCATACAAGGCTTGGTTCATTTCTCCCCCCTGCCCCCACCCCCTCCCTTACCACCCACTCCACCCCCTCCCGCTCCCCCCCTCAATACCCAGCAGAAACTATTTTGCCCTTATCTCTAATTTTGTTGTAGAGAGAGTATAAGCAATAATAGGAAGGAACAGGGGTTTTTGCTGGTTGAGATAAGGATAGCTATACAGGGCATTGACTCACATTGATTTCCTGTGCGTGGGTGTTAACTTCTAGGTTAATTCCTCCAGCTTAGAGGATTCTGCCCAAGCCTCTGTCTTCATTCCCCCAACTTACACAGACCCTCAGAGGGAGGATCAGCCAGCCTGGACCCCAAGCTGAGACCCGGGGCACTCTACAATTTGTGCCGCGTATTTTCTGAGCCGTGAATGTTTAAAGTTAAAGCACGTTGTCAAAGTTATCCACAATTTTTCAACTCTCCTCTTTTTAGCACCTTCCTGCTGATTACCATTAGCTATGCCACCCATAGATGCTACAATCATCCTCTTACTGGATTCTATAATTTAAAAAGTCATGTGGCCATACACACTTTGGATCATCTATCTCCATTTTTTCAACATTTCTGTAACTCTAAAATTACCTCCAAATAAAATGTAAAGAAAATCAGGCTGCAGTATAATGGTCAATGATACAAAGATGAATACAATGACCTCTATTCATAGTCTATGGAGAGGGATGATAGAAATATGGAGAAGCTCTATTACCCAGAGAACACCAAACTTTACCTTTGTGTAAAGGGGTATGGCTAGGAAAAACTTTCATGTTGCATGCAGTTTCAAAAACACGTGGCTCCTTTTAATTAATTCCAAAATAACAGCATAGTTTCAATACAAATTGGAGACACACAATCTTCCCAAATGTCCAAAATATAACCACCTCAAAGAATTTCAGAAAACAGGACTGGCCATGGTTCAAGTGATAGAGAGCAAGTGGAAGGCCCTAAGTTCTAGCCGCAGCACCTCAGTAAAGAAAGAAAGAAAAAGAAATACAGAAAACAAACAGAAAGCAATCATTTCAATGAAATGAGGAGCCCAGGTGAAAATTCCATGTCATGGCCTAGATGTTCTTCCAAGTACATTAAATTCCACACATCCAAATCTTCATGTTCAACCAGAAAGTATTCACACTGCTGGGGATGTGGTTCAATGGGAGAGTGCTTCCCTGCCATGCCCAGGGTCCTGGGTTCAACACCGAGCACCAAGAAAAGAAGAAGAAGAGGAGGACGAGAAAGAGAAGAAGTTTTCCAAGCATCTTGCCAGGCTTTACTTACAAACACCATCAATAGAATCCTTTACAAGGTTTGCATCCGTCAATACCCAAAGACCACATTCCTAGAAAAACAATTTTAATTTTCTTCAAAAATCAAAGTTTCAAGACAATAAAAATTTAATAAAATCAAAATCAAAGTTTAAATGCTCTCTACTCATGGAAACCTCCCACACTCTGCACTCACTCTTGCTCATTTTTGAGGGCTTTTTTGTATATTCTCTCTCCCTGGATCTGTCTCTCTTTTATTCACAAACATGTGCAAGCAGACATTTAAACAGTCATTACAAAGTCAAAGAAAGTAATATAAAGAAAAGAAATGATTCCCTTAATGGCAATTCCTTAACCTCTCTAATGATGAATTTTTCATTTGCTTTTCAAACTGAAGGGAGAATTCTCTCTCCATTTCAGACAATACAAATGTAAGAGTGCACCTGAGCAACATATCTAATAAAAGTTAACATTTCATAATGATCATTAATTCTGAAAGTGTGTGAACTAGTAAAAGACACCAGTATCTTTTCAAATTATCAAGCAAACCAACATACCTGAAAGACAGCAAATGAATTCATGAACATGCCTAAATAATATCCTGTGTTGTAAAGTTCCAAATCATGGGCCACCTACAAAGAAGATAAAACACAGTATGAATGGATTCATAGCAACCTGTTCTGCCTTTCACACATTTCTTTTAAGTAACTTATGTTAGACTTGGTCTTCATGCATAACTAATTTGAAAACAGAACAAATCAAAGAGTAATGAATATGCAAATGCTTGCTCATGATTCAATCCATAGAAATTACATTTCTTATTTAAACTTATTTTTACTCTGCCGACAAATCCAGAGTGCCCTTGAAGTTAAGTGTGGACTTGCGTTTTATCCAGAGAGAATTTAAATGTCACTGGTTAACAAGATCAACACGTATAAATCAACATTAAATATGAACTATGAGCTTGTAAGAGGTGAATGGCTACACTGGATGAAGATTAATATCAATTCTGTAAGATCTCAGTTACCTAAATTAAAAAAACAACTAAAACAGTCAATTGGCAAAAGAGGAAATGTAAATTGCTAATAAACAGCAAAATGTTCACGCCCATTGATAAAGTAATACAAATTAAACAAATAAGAGTTTTCAATAATGAGATATTTTAATGCATAACATTGTCAATGGTTTTTTTGTTGTTCTTGTTTTTGGGGTGCTTTTACTTTTTTTTTTCAGTTCTGGGGTTGGAAGTCAGGGCATACACCTTGACCCACTCCAGCAGCCCTTTCTTGTGATGGATTTTTTTCAAGATAGAATCTCCTGAACTATTTGCCTGGGCTGGCTTTGAACTGCAATCCTCCTGATCTCTGCTTCCTCAATAGCTACTATATGAGCCACTTGCACCCAACCCAATGTTACTTCTTTAAGAACAGTGCTCACTTTTAAGAAGAGTGGGTAAAACAGGCTAAAATCTAGGCATGGCAGTACATCCTATAATCCTACCACGTGGAAGGGTGAAACATGAAAATTGTGAGTTTGGGGCCAGCCTGGATTACACAGCAAGACCCTGTCTCAAAAAACAAAACACAAAATGAAACAAAAGGCATGAAAGACACTCTTAGCGTATCACCACACACAAGTGACTACAATTATTTATAGCCATAGTTATAACCAAAATAGAAAACACTTCAAAATTATCTAAAGCTCTCATCCCATGGCATCCAACACTGTCAAGTCAATTTCGTAGTACTTTCTCTTTTCTAAAAGAATTCATTTTTATGGGTTTGATCCCCACAAATGCAATTTTTTATTTTTAACTGGAACATGAAAACAAAAAAATATACATATTAATGCGGTATCATGTCATGTTTCTATAGACTGTGTAACGTTTAGATCAAGTTAAATATACCTATCTTCTTAAATATGCAACACATTGCTATTATTTGTAGTCACCTGCTGAGCAAAAGCACACCAGAGCTCCCTGCTCCTATCAGACTGTAACTTAGTGCCCATGATCCACCTTTGTCCATCCTGCATTCCCCACCTCTGGTAAACACCATTCTGCTCTCAACTTCTATGAGGTCAACTTTTTAGATTCCACATGAGTAAGGTCACGTGGTACTCTATTTCCATGCCTGGCTTATTTCATTTAATGTAATCACCTGCAGTTCCAACCATGCTGCCACAAATGAGATTTAATTCTTCTTATGGCTGAATGATCGTGCATATGGTCCACATTTCCTTTATCCGCTCATCAGTTAAACAACTTAGGTAGTTTCTATTTCTTGACTGTTGTGCATATTGCTGCAGTCAATGTGCCAGTGCAGATGACTCTTCACATGTTGATTTCATTTACTTTGGATGTATACACAGTAGTGGGATAATTAGATCTGCTGTAGTTCTATTTTTAATCATTGAGGAACCTCCACATTGTTCTGCATAACAGCTGAACTAATTTACATTTCCACCAAAAGTGTCCAAGTGTTCCTTCTCCTCCACATCCATGCGACCTCTAATCATTTTGAAAACAGCCAATCTTTGTAGGGTATAATTTCTGAGTACTGTCTTCAGTGTCTTAAATTAAAATGCAGTATGAAAATGAGTACAAACTCTGGGTGGTGTTTCATTTAATTTCATATATTTTTGGGGTACAATATGATGTTGATACACGTACACATTGTATAATGATTAAATCAAGGTAATTAACATATCCATCTCCTCATATTTTTACCATCTCTTGTTATGAGAACATTTAAAATCTTCCCTCTTGGCAATTTTAAGCACACAGTACACTACACTATTATTAACTATTGCCACCATGCTGTCCACTAACCCTCCAGAACGTATTCTTCTTACTTAGCTTTAGGAGGTATTTCTCACATAAGACAGAGAAGTCCTAAGCCACCAGCTTCCTTCCAACATAACCAATGGACCTACAGATTCATTTTTATTTGAAGACTCTGCTCTTCATTGACTTTGACAATAGACTTCCTTTAAATATTTAAGTAATACAATAGATTTTTTTCTCATTTAATATGTATTTTTATAAGTAATAAAGCTAAACTCATATTTTTCTTTTAATGTCATTAGAGGCATTCATCAAATTCACACTTTTGTCAACAGCTACAATCCCAACTAAGGAGTCAGGCTGTGTCACAGAGCTCCTCAGAGAAAGTTTCTCAGATGGTTCAGGACTAACTCTACTCCAAAACAGCTTTATCTAAGAAAGAGAGAAATCAGCATTTATTTCATAAAAGTACTATTTTCATATCTTACCAATTCCAAATCAATGACTCAAAATCTAACAGACTCTACATTTGCCTTGGAAATTTTAAAAAGTATAAAAAACCCTTCTCTGAGGAAAGGAATGGAAAAAAAGTTCACTTTCATGTGTTTCCAAGTCATGAAACATCTCATGGTTGTATAAATCTGAATTTTCCTTCACTTCTCTACCTTTTCTCTTCCTTCTCTCCACTCCCATCTCTTGGTCCCCAGCCAGTGATGAACAGAAAATAGACACATCTAGCACATGTGGGGAAGGCTAGACTCCAAGAGAAAGAGCTCAGAAGCAGAAAGAAACTGCAGGTGTTGCTGACTTTGACTTAGGAATGAATACAAGAAGAGCTCCCTGGGGGCTCCCAGCACTATATGGGGTGTGGGGTGAGGGGAGTTCTTTCTAAGGAGGGAGTGGTCAGACCAAACACTAGTCAGGCTCCATGCTGTATGTCTCCATGGCTGCCTGAACTTGTGGTCATTACATTCATCAATGCATCATCTTACTAATACTTCATAAAGACCATCGATCATTTTATTACTGAACCAAAGGACATTGTCATGAGCCCCCTTCCTATGGAGCACTTTCTTTCCATGCAGCTCTAACAGTTCCCTGCACCAGTGACTGAACTACCTGACAAACATGGTCTTAAACTTCCCCTGAATTTGACTAAACTTGACCTGAACTTCTCCCTGGCTGCAGCCCCTGACCTCCCTTTCCTGAGAGCATTTACTTTAGAAAACATGAAATTGCAAAGTCCTTCTCTGCCCGAGATGCTAATCTTCCCCCAACCTCTTGCCGATTTTAAAGCCCAGAAATGTCTTTCCCAATAATATCAAGAAAGACAGCTGTTTTCCCAGTCTCTGTGGAGGCCTAACTTCAATAAGCCCTGATTCACAAACACAGAGGACTGACCACATTGACCACCCTCCCCACAATGTCCTCCAGCACCGAGGTTAACTCACTCCAGAGCTTTCACACCCTCCTGCCTTTTGTCTCAGCACACTTGGGTTCAATCTCCCATCACTTTTTTTTTACATTTTATTTTGATCCATTCATCAATAGTGAGACATCCTGTTTATTTCTATAGCTTAATTATTGTGAATAAAGCTGCAATACACATGGGTGGGCAGGTGCCTTTATTGTAACCTGACTCACACTTCTTCAGGTATATCCCTGTTAGTGGAATTGTTGGATCTATTTTTAGTTTTGTGAGAAGCTTCCATTCTGTTTTCCACAGTGTTTGCACTAATTTACATTTCTACCAGCAGTGTATGAGGGTTCCTTTTCCCCACTTCCTCACCAACACTTGTTGTTTGTGTTCTTGATGGTAGCCATCCCAACAGGAGTTAGGTGGTGGAATCTTAATATAGTTTTGATTTGCTTTTCCTTTATGGCCAGGGATGTTAAGCATTTCTTCATGTGTTCTTTGCTACTTTATTTATTTATTTATTTATTTTTTGGGTGGCACTGGGGTTTGTAACTCAGGGCCTCATGTTTTCGAGGCAGGCATTCTACCACTTGAGCCACTTAGCCAGCCCCCTTTTTGGGCTTTTTGACCATTTGGAGTTCTTTCTTTGAAAAAGATCTCTTCCGTTCATTTGCCCATTTCTTCATTGGGTCATTGATTTGGAGTTTAGGTTTTTTTTTTTAATTCCCTGTATATTCTGGTTATCAGTTCCTTATCATATGTATATCTGGCAAAGACTTTCTCCCATTCTGTGGACCGCATCTTCAATTTGGTAACCATGTCTTTTGTTGTGAGAAGCTTTTTAATTTCATCTAGTTCCATTTGTCAATCCTTTCTCTTAGCTGCTGAGCCATTTGAGTTTTATTGAGGAAGTCATTGCCTATGCCTATTGCTTCCAGTGTATTCCCTGCTCTGTCCTGCACTAGCTTCAAAGTTTCAGATCTTACATTAAGGTCTTTAATCCACTTTGAGTTGATACTTGTACAGGGTGACAAATGCAGATCTAGTTTCTGTTTTCTGCATGCTGATATCCAGTTTTCCCAGCAACATTTGTTAAAGAGGCTGTCTTTTCTCCATAGTATGTTTTTGGCAACTTTGTCAAAAATCAGGTGGGCCTAACTGTGTGGATTCCTATCTGGGTCTTCTGTTCTGTTCCACTGGTCTTTATGTCTGTTTTTGTGCCAGTACCATGCTGGTTTTATTGGTATGGCTCTCAAGTATAGTTTGAAGTCAGGTATTGTGACACCTCCAGCGTTGTTCTTTTTGCTCAGTGTTACCTTGGCTATTCATGGTCTTTTATGCTTCCAAATGAACTATAGGGTAGATTTTTTTAATCTCTGTGATGAATGGTATTGAAATTTTTATGGGGATTGCATTAAACATGTACATTG